TAAGATGCAAACTTAACTAACTGTGGTAACAGAAAGCCAATCAATCAGTGGTTGCAGGGGAAGGAAGGTGCTGGGAGAGAATACAGATGCAAAGGAGCACAAAAAAACTTCCGGAACTGATGCACTTTGATTGTTTTAATGGTGACATGGTGTGTGCGTATGGCAAATTCAACTTGTATAATTATACTTTATTATATATCAATTGTACCTCAACAAAATTGCTTTAAATCTTTAACTAGCTATTTCTGATCAACAGAGAGTAAAGGGATGTTCGACAGGATCATTGGGGACATATGAAATAGGTCTATGGTGTAGACAATAATGCTTTGACTTTCATTTCCTGACTTTGATAAGAGAATATTCTTATTTCAGGGAATATAAAGGGGACTTCAAAAAGTTCATGGAAAGGGAAGTACCGTCAACCAGTTTTGCAATCTAGCTGGAAAAAGCAGATTTCTCTATCCAAAAACATGATAATTATGCTGAACACATTTCAAACTGCCACTCCAAGTTCAAAAGGAAAACCAAGATACATATGAAGAAAACCTTCATTAATCATTTCTGCTTATTTTAACCAAAAGCTGGATAGAACATTACGGTAAGCTCTTCAAGAGAAAATGAAAACATGCAGCACATGATAGTTTTCCACAAAACAGAAACCTGTACTATATCATATGCAACAAACTGCTGGCTCCTGGATTAGAGTCCCCAAGACTCGGCCCCCCACTCCTTGGGGGCAGTGTGAGCTCTGGAGTCCTGCCATCACCCACATGATTCCCCAGCCATCCTCACTCGCCTCCTCCAGTCCGCTGCCTGTCTGCTTGTTGCTTTCCTGCACCAAACCTTGGGGTGTCAGTAAACATTTATAAACAGCCTGTTTGATATTTGAAGAATTGAACTTGTAAGCAACCTAAATAGTTCTTCCTCTAAGACACAATTTACATTATTGGGATACTCCCTACCTCTCCCCCCACCCAATCTTGTAAATGTATCTCTTTGTCCTGTTTTTGGTAGGAGTCTTTTTTTTAAACCTATAAACACAGCAAACATCATGATTTCTTGTTCCTGGTTTAAAAATAAATAAATAAAGCACATCTTTCCAAAAGAAAAGCTCATGGAGAGAAAAAAAAAAAAGTTCATGGAGAGTTTTCATTATGCTTTAATTCAATTTTTCCATTGACTTTTGAAGCTCTTTTTTACATTCTAATATTTAGGGGCAAGGAATATGTCTGTAAAACTTTCTGTTACATGTTCAGGAAAAAATAGGTAAGGTTAAAAGAAATAGAGAAGGAAAAAGATTAATGAAGTAAATGAAAGTATTATAATAAAATGTTGTCGCTCGGATAATCTGGATGAATGATGTACAGAAATACTCTGTGATCTACTAGTAAGCTTTGCATTAAGCCTGAAATTATGTAAAAATGAAAATGTTTTGTTTTTTAATCTAAAATATGTGGCATTTAGAATACTTTAACCAAAAAAAAAAAGAATACTATTACCAACACTCTGGTATCCATTCATCCATCAGCAAATATTGGATGTTCCCACACTGATGAAATTTGACAACATCGGCCCTACATGCTTGCCAGAGCTATGAACAGAACACATGTCAACATCTAAACTTATAAATCTGACTATTTGATTTATAAATACATTCCCTTTTCATTTAACTAACTAATATTTAAAGAGCACCTGTCTCTGTGCCAGCCCAAGCAGGCTCCAGAAAAACCAAGTCACCTTGTCTGGAATCTGAAGCACACACAGATAACGATGAAGCGGTGAGGAGTGAAACCAGGTAGAATACAGCCAGATAAGAGAAAGAAGAGTGTAATATGAGCACATATACTGGGACAGGAACTTGAGGAAATGTTTGCAGCCGGCCACAGCTAAAACCATGGGGATAATAAAACCGAGAAGAGATTGAAGGCACATAAGGAAGAGATCCGTTGGGTGGATAGCTGTAAGGTCTTGTATTCCATGCGAATGTAGCAAAGCTTCATCTGGACTAGGAAGACACTGAGAACTTTGATTTACTTGCTTAAATATTTTGCTTTGATTTCTTTTGTTTTGGGGATCTATACCAGGAAGGCAAAAGAGTGCAAAATGTACTGAGTTAGGAGAATGGTGTGACCAGATCAGGGTTTCAAAAAGACACCTAGCTAAGAACAAGGAGGCTAAGAAAGAAGAAAATGTTCTAAAACCGGTTGTGCTGACTAGTGCACAACTCTTTTTAATCTGGTAGAACTATTGATTTATGTGTTATGTGAATTATATCAATATAATTCTGTTAAAATGTAAAAGAAAAGAAAATGAGAGAGCTTGTAGTTTGGTAAGAAAATTTGTTCAACATATTGACTTCTCTGCTGCCCGACAGACTCATCACTCTACCACCCACCAGTACATAACCTAGAGCAAATGTGCAATACATACTTGTTGTCAATAAAGGAAGTATAGGCATTATCCCAATGAGAGATAAAGGCCTCATTTATAACTGAAAACAGAAGTAAAGAATCCAAGATAACAGAGAGATACAAGAGCTCAGATGTTATTAAACAAAAGAATCTATAAGGCTGAGAGACAAGAGAGGCACGAAAAATTACTGAATGTTCTTATTGGGTGACCATTTAGATGGTAAGCCACTGAACTAGACAGCTATAGCAAGAGAATTGAAGAAAGTAAACACTTTCACTCAATTATAACACATCAAAATTATAGAACTGGTGTTTTGCTGTCAATATTTTCACACAAACACACACAAAAGCAAGTCTGGAAGAGAACAGATTTGTTTATGAGAGATAGGTAGTCCTTACAAATGCATTAACACTGTTGCTAACCACAAAGTTAGAGGTTTGAGTTCACCCTACTAAAAGGACCTGCCAATCTGCTTCTTAAAGATTTGCCACTGGAAGCCCCATGAGCCATATTTCTACTCTGGCACATTTTGACCCCACTATGAGTTGGGGTCAAATCAACAGCAACTTAGTTTTAAAAGCTGTTTAGTAACTGCCACATTCTTATCTACTTCCATGGGTGAAATAACTTGAGTAAAGGAAAATTATGCAATGCAGTTAAGGTTTATAATAAGAAATATTTTAGAAACAATACAAATGCCCACCATTACATTACTGGTAAAATGTTTGTCTCTTATTTGCAAAATGCTCAACCAATTGTAAAAGCAGTGTCTGATCTTTATCTTCACAAGCGGGGAAGAGGATCAAGATCAACACAGCCTAAGGCTGATTCTTACGAGGCTGAGGTCAGAGCAGCCTCTGCTCTCCAAACCAGTTTACCCATGTGGATACCAACCATCAGTCCTCCCACAGCCCTTTCTACTGGTCCACTATGTTGGAAAATGCATTGTAATGGCCACCAGAACTCAGACAATACTCATGATTGTAACAGGTCACAATTCAGTATCAGAAATGGTTCAGGTTACAGTTCTATCAGGATAACTTCTTCCCAGCAGTGCCCACAGGCATGCCTTTCTGGCCCTGGTCCTCTCAATCCCTTGGCCTCTGCCATTGGGCCATGTGCTATAAAACTAAGTTATAAAACTGAAGTTCTGCTGATAAGCACCCCGAGGCAGCTCACTCTGCCAGTAAGTCTCCTGCCTAATGATGCTCAGTTTTCTCACTCCTGCAGTCTACTATCAGTCTTCCACTGCACTACTGCAGTCTCCCTTTCTCTGCCACTGCTTATCACCTTCACTGTAACCTTACTCTTTCTGTCTCGTAGATCTAGGAGCTTCTCAGAACAGCTTCTCCACTTCTGGATCTTCTTCCTGAGTAAAAGGGAGATCTCCCTTTCCCAACTCAGGGTTAACTCATTTCAAATCCAGCACAATGGCAAAGCAGGCCAATCACTCTCCTCATTCTTGTTCCAAACACTTTGTTTGCATAGTCTCACCCAGTCATCTGATAGGAGTTAGGATCCTGACTATAAGCTAGAAAAACCATATTAAGTAATTCACGGAACCTCAAGAAGTCAAAGCGTTTTAGAATAGGTAATTTAAGTTAAAAATTAAGTACAAATATGTGAATGAATTAAAGTTCAGAATATTTTTTGTCTAGCTATTCTTCTAGACTTGTACTAGTAATCAGGGAGGAGGGAGTATCCAATAAACAAGATAAATGTGGGCTCACTTGTTTTTACTAATCTATAGTGACTTATTTCACATAAATCTTTGAGATGGTAAAAAATGTTAAACTGTTCACCAAAGATTAGTAAGTAAGCACAAGTAAGCCTGGGTTTATTTTGCTTTTTGAGCAATGCAACAGCATTCATAGTAGAAGATAAATACAATTCCAAGTGTATTTTTTATCTAGAATCCATAAAACACCGTATTTGTAAATATCTTTTAAATCTGAAGAGTTTAAACTGAGCTCCTTAGAATCCTTTAAATAAATTCTAGGCCGATCAATACTTATGTACTTTAAGCTTAGCTAATTTTTATGTCATTGAAGTGTTTATAAATCATTTTCACTGTGTATTTCATTCCAATAAGCATGTGAGATATGTAAAGTAGGCAGAAACATGCCTGCCAACATGTATGGCAAAAGCATGTCTCCAGGGCAGTTTCAACCTTCCTGGTGCATCATTTTATCCCCTCAAAAGGAAAGAAGTTTCATTCAGTTTCTCAGGCTATGAGAGAGCTAGTGATTTGTTTCACTCTTAATTTTCACCATCTATAACTTCCAAAATTACACACACGGTCAAAATGCAACACAGAGCAAATCTTTGTAAAATCACATTTCATATAATTTCCCTATGACTCCATCAAATCTTTTAATGTGAAAACAATACATTCTAGTTTTCTAGGACAAATTCTAAAAATATGCTGCTGCATCACTGCAGAAGATACATTTCCAATAAGTTCATAAATTCTTATAATGTACAACAATACTTTACACCAAGGCAAACCAGATGTAAGACTGCAGCAAAGTCTACTGAACGATTACTAAACCGCATCTCTTCTCCCAGCCTGTTGGCTATTAGCTTACCTCCGGAGGAGCACTGAGGGAGGGTTTCCTTTTCAGCTCTTCACATTTTCTCTTCTTACAGATCTGATGGCTATTCTTTCTGTTCTTACAGTAAGTACAGTCACCACAGTTCGCCTTCTGCTGGCAGGGTCCACAGACTCCACATCTCTTTCGTTTCTTCTTTCCCAAAGTAGGTAGCAAAGTTGCGGAGGGTGAAGACGAAGTACTAGGAAGTGACACAGACACCAGTGGGAGATTAACAACACCAAGGGTGCCGGTCATGTGGACCTGGGAACTCCCGCCTACGGTTATGCTAGGGCCGGACTGGGCGAGTTGAGCACTCAGCGGAGCCGGGTACAGTCCTCTTTCAGGGGCTATTGCAAACCTGGGAAGGTAAATTGGCAGAACATTGTTATGAACCTGCTTTTCGTTTTCTTTATTGCTAAGAGCCATTGCTGGAGGTATCAAGCTTTTCTCAGAGTATGTCGATGACTGAGGCGTGTGACCTGAGCAGTCCAAAGGCAAAATCTGCATAGCACCCTGGGCCTCCGGCCCACATGAGACAGCGCTCTGGGGTTCAGGCCACTCTGAGAGAACATGACAGGTAACAGTTGAGTCTGGAGGAGCAGCAAAGAAGACAGGCAGATCTGGGACAGCACCACCACTCATACCAAGGGCTTCTTGTTGGTCTAGGATGGCACTAAAGACCTCCTCTTGGACTGGAATGGCACCAGGAACCTCTGGAAAGTGTGAGGTCTCCCCTAGGACCTCTCCATGAACTGGGTTAGTACCAGGAACTTCCCACTGGTGTGGGGTAGCACTGAAGGCCTCACCTAGGACAGAGCTGGAGTCAGGAATTTGTTGTTGATTTGGAGCAGCACCAGAAACTTCCTGTTGCTCTAGGGTGGCTCTGAGGACCTCCTGATGGTTTATGTTAGCACCAAGGGGTTCTTGTTCTGAGCCTGCCAGGAGTTTTAATAAAGAGGTAGGATACACAGACCCACCAACAGACAAGCAGTTTTGAAAGTCTATTTCCGATATAACATTATTAAAGCTGGAGGTGGGATTGCAATCATGCTCATCTTTCAAGGGATCCAAGTAAGAATCGGATAGCTTAAGAGATTCTACTCGTGAACCCAAATCTTCTAACTGATCCCTGGTGTTTCTTTCAGAGGTAACCTTGGAGATTGTGCTTGGGGGCAAAGGAGCCCATTCAGCGTCTTGTGTAAACTTTCTAGTGTAATCATTGATATCATTTAATGTCTCTCCCGAGAATAGCTCTTCTTCATGTGTCCCCCCTTCCAATGGCCTAGAATGGATCTCTACTGCCAAGCCACTGTGGGTGGTAATGTTGGTTTTGGCTTCTTCAACCCTTTGGGACAAAGACTGGGTTGTCTTTTGGCTCTCACTTTTAATTAAAGATGACTTTTGTACATCAATTAGATTATCAATGTCAGGGGGGATTGGGGGATCTTGCATTGAGTCTGATTGATTTTCAGAGTGTCGTACTCCCACATCAGTGACCACCTCATACTCACACTCTTGCTTTTCTAAATTCTTAGACGGCAGAACTTTCTTAGGTTTGGTTACAACCACTGGAGGCTGGGAGAGACGCCTACTCAGGGAGGTTCTTCTGAGAGCCATAGTAAACCCAGTGCTAGTTAAGGATTCTGGGTTCCGATGAAGAACCTCATTCCTTTCCAGATTCATTCGTGCAGCTCCAGCCCTTGTCAGAAGGCCTCTGACTGGCATGGGAGGTTTGGGCTCTGTTTTTTTCTTAACATTTCTCTCTTGAATTAATGGTTTTCCTTTCCCAGGGCTGACAGACTGGAGGGAGGTCACCTTTTTGTTGGTTGCCTTGGAAGTCGTCTTCGGTTGTTTGAGTTTCTGTTTGTTGAGATCCTCCCTCCTGACTGGTCGAGAAGCCCTTGCATTGTGGGATGGAGACATAGTTACAGAGAATGAAAAACTGAAAGGCCACGGGATACAGAGTCATTGGTCCTTTGGGTGGTCTTGCTTCCGCGGAGAATCTGGATGTCCCACAGCTGAGCTCAGTCACATCAAGGTTTAGCCTGAAGTAACAAACAAAAAACATTGAAAGTGAGTCTTTTTCCTGTCTACTGTCCCATTGGGAAAAAAAAAAATTACCAGAAGCTATTCATTGAAAGTAGATAACTGACCAGTGTTATAAAGAAGAAAAACTGATATCAAATTACTTCGGCAAGTCACATGACCTCTCAGACTCGGCGCTACTTCTTAAATGAGGCCGATAGGTGTCAATGCAACTCTCAAGGAAAAGTCTAGGCTCACTGGGTTCATTCTTTGTTTTTGTGTTTCGTTCTTAAGGCATTTGAGCTCAGGCAGGGTTCTGTAAGAAGGCGGACTTTAGAAGTAGGCAGATCTGGGTTCAGTTCACGTCATTAGCTGAGTGATTCTGACAAACCTCTTAGTCTCTCATAGTACTAGTCAAATGACCATGGGTATAAAATGCAATACTATATACAATAGTTACCACATTGTTATGCAGGAGATTTTTAAAAATAGGTTAAAGAAAATTAAGTCCACTTACAACTCCAGATATAAATACAATAAATTATATCATATAGCATTATTAAGGAACCAGTTTAGCCCAATTTGTCATATCTCACAAAACAGGCCCAGTTACTGTTTCTGTTCCCACCTATCACACTATAAATAAGGGGACTCAGAGTACATTAAAAGTGTAAGCATTGAAAAAATAGAGTCCAAGCATTGAGCCTTTAAAAAAGAGACTTTAGCTAGACATTAGTAATGAAACTAAATAAAAGAAAATTTACATTTTGATAAATCTGTACTAAACAGAAACACGAAGTCAGCTATAAATAACCTTGGAGCTATGAAGAGCTATAGGATCCGTTCTCCAAAGACCACCGCTTTCTTTCACCAGCTGTTGGAGTTATCAGGACATTTTGATTCCACTGTCCAGAAATTCAACATTATCTTTTTCAGATAACAAAAAATACACACAATTCAGATAAGAATGCTTAAAAAAAAAAAAGAATGCTGGAGAGCAAATGTTTTGAGAATGACAAGGGCAATGAATGTACAAATGTGCTTTACACAATTGATGTCTGTATGGATTGTAATAAGAGTCATATGAGCCCCTAATAAAATGATTAAATAAATTAATTAATTTTAAAAAAGAATGCTTTCAAAGCCACATTGCTTAAATAAATAAATAAATGGGTAGATAATCTGGGTGTTCCAATCAACCTTTTAAAATTAAAATTTACACAAGAGGGTTTCAGAAAATAGAAAAATTCCATTATCTATTAAGCTCATTTTTCCTGAAAAATTTGAAGCCCCCTTGTAGGCTCCCAGAGGGTGTCATGGGATCAGCTTAAAAAATAATTTATAAACTGATCTCTGTCCTCTGTTCTTTTATATTGAACAGAGAAGTGCTTTAGAAATGCCTATTTGCAATTAAGATCATGTTTATCACTTAAACATTATCACTTATAAAAGATCCTACACCAAGGATATGTAAAAGGTATGAGCATCAAGGATAAGGCTCCTTTAAATGGTAACAACCTTTTTATGAGAATGTCTTCAGCGACCTCTGAAAAACCCAACTGCTGGGGAGAAACCACTGGGTCCCACCCAGCCAAAGGAGGGACAATCAGAGTAAAAGAAGGGCTCCTCGATTTTATCACTCTTGCTTCCACTGACAAAATGTAGCCGAAATGTAGCCGTTTGATAAGCTGAACTCTGGGAGCAGGGGAGAAAACTTTTCACAACACTGAGTGTGGGGTGGGAGTTGGGGAATGAGAGAACTGTATAGGCCATTCTGTTAAATAGGTCCACATTTCATTACAGGAGCACCGCCAGATAATCTTCCTAAAATTAAATTTCCTTTTTAATGTTTTAATGCTTTTGTTTATAATAAAGTATTAAAGAGGTGGAAGTATATGCAGATCCCACCATTCTGGAGAAGAACTAAAGCATTTCAACAGGTATATCTCTCCTGTGTACAACTTGCCTAATTCAGCTTTCCAGTACAGATGACAATTAATGTTCTCATATTTCTCAAAATTAGTTTTTCCTTTTACCTGTGATAGGTTCCAGAATCTGAGTGCTACAGCTACGCGACAACATGGCTAGAGCAGGAAGAGACCTGTTAATAAAGGTACATAGTGAGCTCACAAGAAGGAGCCGTGGACAACTAATTGACACCATGCCATGTGCTGTCCTTAAACCATTAAAATAAGGCTGTGGCTACCATGACTCGAATTCGACCTTGCAAGTCTGGCTAGACCAGAGGATGTACACTGGTACAGATAGGAACTGAAAATACAGGGAATCCAGGGCAGATGAGCCCTACAGGACCAGTGGTGTGAGTGGCAAAACAGGGAGGGTAAAGGGAGAAGGGGTAGGAAAGAGGGAACCGATTACAAGGAACTGTGTGTGACCTCCTCCCTGGGGGACAGACAACCAAAAGTGGATGAAGGGAGACGTCGGACAGGGCAAGATATGACAAAATACCAATTTATAAACTATCAAGGGCTCATGAGGGAGGGGGGAGCGGGGAGGGAAGGGAAAAATGAGGACCTAATGTCGGGGGTTTAAGTGGAGAGAAAATGTTTTGAGAATGATGTACAAATGTGCTTTACACAATTGATGTGTGTATGGATTGGGATAACAGTTGTATGAGCCCCAATAAAATGTTAAAAAAAAGACGGTGGGATGTAAAACATGACTCAGTTAACAGATCTTGTCTCCAGAGGGGACCAAGACCTCTAACTCACAATAAAATGTTTTCTGAAAGGTTTTTCTAAGATAGGGGACCAGAGTGAAAGAGATCTAAACATTCTAGGCCAAGAGATAAGCAGCCGACCCACCATTTGAGATAGGAATAGGCATATTGCTAATCCAAACTGGAGGGCAAAGGGTTAAGATAAGAGTGGAGAAATGGCCAAGAGGAGGCTGCTGGTGTAAGGCTTTGCCAATTATCCACACATAATTTTTAATTACATTGCCAAAAACTTACCTAACCCAACTAATCAACAAATAAAGCCGAAAAATGTGTCTTAATATTGTTTAAGCTTACTAGATGATGACTGTCGTTCTCTTAGAAGTCAGTTGTGTGTATGGGTGTGTGTGCGTGTGTGTGTGTGTGTGTGTGTGTGTAAATGTTTGGTCTTTTCCAACAATGATTAAACTAATCACCTTACCTAGAAAAATGAAAAACTAACTTTCTAAACTTTATCAGTTGTCTGTAAAGGACAACATTAACAGCACCATGTCAGAAAATTCCCTTCCACCTACAATCCTTCCTTCTTCTGCATCTCCCAAAGTCCCCTGGGCAGGAAGTGGCTGACCAGATGTAACCATCCAGCCCGTATATCAACTTAAAACTATACTGCAGTCCTTCCCACTACCAGCAGCGCCAAAACAGTGGTATTTGAATATAGAGAGCTGGTTGCAAAATGGAATGAGATCATAACCACTCAATTTGGCCCCTTAGAATGTCAAGGCTACAGCACTTGACAGGAAAACAAGAATTAAAACATTTCTTTCAAAAAGGCACACCTGGCTCAGTTTCCTCCCTGCAACTACGTTCTGCATCTAAAGGAAGAGGAGGCGGGCGGACTGCTGGCTGTTCCTAGATAGTGTTAAGCCACAGGAAGTGTGGGAGCGCTCAACACGCGGGGAGCCCGCAGAGGGAAAGGCCCGCGAATGCCCGCAGATTTAGTCAAAGGCTCCTTTCCATATGTAAAACGTCAGAGAGTGAGAGAGGCAGGAGAGCCCCGGGGGCCTAAGAGGGTGCGTGAAAATAGAAGTTAAAATGGAGATAAAACAGGTCTTCCAAAATAAAAGAAAGGCCGAAAACACATTGGGAGGGAGAAGAAAAAGCCAAAGAGGGGAAAAACTCTAAAAAAGAAAACTGTTAATAAAGACCAAATGTCAGAGGAAACGGAATGAAAGAAGTGCGTGCTAATAAAAGCTATCATACAATTCAACTGGGATCAAAAGACTGAAGACTGAAGTTGGGAAGAGTAAGAAAAAGATATGAGTGGGTCATGTGGACGGGATGGCAAGGCACAACAGGGAAGGAAAGGCAGCCCCACCCCGGGGTGGGGGAGGGGACAGCCAGATAAAGAAGATTGGAGGAGGGGGAGAAACACAAAGAGCAGGGGCAGTGAGGATCCAAATCTCCAACACAGGAATTCTGGGAGGACGGCACTTTGGGCAATAGTTAACTCTCATTACAATAAGTGGTGGGCCCAGAGTTTGAAGCCTGGGCTACTATTTGCCAGAAAAAGGGTCCGTGTCTGCCATCTCCTGTATACCTTGAGTCTGGAGCTTAATTGAAATCATAAAATGACTTTAAAGCCAAGAGTTGACAAGCTAATTAAGATCCCTTAATTGAGGAGGGAAGGGACTTGGGTTTTAACATGTGTAACCAGGGTCGGGGAGGGGGGGCGAGGAATCAGAAAACCACAGATCACATAATCTAAGTCTCTGAGTCCTTGGAAATAACACCGACCAATCCCTAAATGTGGCATTTATGTGTAACCCTGTATGTGTCGCTCTTCTGGAATTGTGGCCATAAATTCCTCATATGCCCTAAACAACCCTAATCCTGATTGGTTGAGAAGCTGCTTTTCCATTTTCTTTTTCTGGTGTCCTGAGGACTCATCACCAAGGCTTTGATTACAGTCTTGTGCTTGCGGGGCGGAAGATGGGGAGGCTGGGGGCGTCTCGCACTTGCAGCTGGGTACCTCCAACTTCCAGCCAGCAGGCGCCCGGGAGTGCGTGCTGCGGCACACCTCCCACGGGTCCACAGCTGCACATCTTCTCCGTGCCTACAGGTCTCGGAGCAGTTTTCAAACATTTGTTTATAAATCAATCGTAACTATGATGTCTGCCTGAGGCTCAATTTCTGCCCGAGAGTGTAGCGGCCGCAGGGG